ATCTTCAGCAAGTCCTGGGACTGCCCTGCCTTTATCATTTTAAAGGAAGGTCAGGAACTGATTATGCCCGGAGAGGATGCGGGAATCAGCTTGCACCTACAAAAGAAAGTTGTAAGTTGTTTCCCTCCATGAAATCATTTGCACAATCTATGCGATCTTCATGGACGCTCTCAGTCGCTTGTGTCTGTAGCCACCTGGGCGAAAATGCTTGGCATACAGGAAATGATGCGCTTAGATTTGTGAAAATCTTTGCATAGACATCATAGGAAATGAGTAAGCTGCCAACTCGTCGTTTAATCACTGCAAAATGAATTCCCACGCAGCTCTCCCCCCAGTCATTCACCTAACTCATCCTTGCCATAACCCACTGCCTCCATCTAACTGTTTGTCAGTCCAAACAGTCTTAAACTTACCAATCGGTCGCCCATAAGGACACACACACACAGTAGAATTCGACCTTGCATACATCACGGTCAGAATAGTTCCTGTCCTCCAGATGGTAGGTGGGGACCTGGCAAGAAAATATTCTTTAAAAAGGCCGACCAAAGTGTATATTTTGGAAAATCATGTTGGATCGTAAATCCTACGAGCGGACTGACCAAAGTGCATCTGGGTGGAAACCTAGCTGTCTTCTCTATCAGGGGCGCACAGCGACTCACATCGTAGGGACAAAGCCATAAGGGTTTAGAGTGAGTCCCTTGACCAGACAGCTCATACTTTGACTCGATATTGCGGCACAATTATTGTCTACTTGCGGTTTTCTGTGTTTGCCGCACCAAAATTTCCACTCTTCCCTGCAGTTTCTGGAACCCGGACAACGGTTCACAATGCGTTGTGGAGGCGCGACCATGGGGTATGGTGTTGTATCCAAGGTCTTGCCTGATCCCGGTCCCGGCAAGTGGGCCGACTAGTGGTGCTGGACGTGCCCGACACAGATCCCAATAGCCATCTCCCATCCTCTAGCCTTCACCTCCGCATTGCACGTTTTTTTTAACGTACGACTTATGTACAAAGTGCCGTTTTTAACTACGAATAAGCCTACGTCTTAGAAATAAATGATCTGACCAGTTGACCCTTTCTCACCGTCTGTGGCTGTTATTTTTTAATAAAATCCATGGAATTAACGAGATTTGTAGTGGCCTCCCACTCGTTGAGCTCGAAGTTTCCTTTCAGTAGAGGTTCGTTGAGTAAAAGACAGATTCGAAGTTTGTATACTAAGAGAAAAGTGTGCATTCACAGGGGGGGGGGTCCAAAGTAGATAGCCATGGCCAGCCTACTTGGCCCAGTAAAACAGCCCATACATGAGGGCCGCGAGAAAGACTAGGGTGACAAAGTCCTTGAGGAGGCCTCCGATCCGGTTTTGCGGCCGTGGTCTCAGATTCCGTGAACTACTGTCCTTACTCTCCCAGGGGACAGTCTTCCGCGATATCACGGGAGTTTTGGCAGATTCATGAACAGGACCTTCGACTTCTTGAGTGGGGAACGCTGAGTTCGAGGTCTGGGAAGTGGTCCACGGATGCACGGGAACACTTGGTTGGGAAACAATCTTGTATAATTCCATGGCTGCTCTGGCGTCCTCAACACTATCGTGCGCTCCTTGTTGAATAAACTTGCCTGAAAGAGGTATCACAACACGACAGCACTTTCAACGCCCGAACTGGCTCTGAATGCAAAGGTTTAGGGGAAGTCCCCGCATCGTCTCTGTCGTAGTAAAGCAGCGTCAACCCACCTAAATCCCTCTTGCGGTGGGACATGATGCGTGACACAGAAGGACCTGTCACCACCAATTTGATCCTGCTGTCAATCATACCGGCAAATCAGGCGGTCGTGGATATATCGGAACTGGAAGGCGGACGTTTCGTTTAGATGCCAGTTTGATTATTGCGGACTGTGTCCACTGTGTGCCCACAGCATGGCGGGCTCAGGGCAGTGACTTGCGCGGCACTATCCTCCTCCTCCCGCCAGGACCCGGTTGTAAGACCGAGGCAGGCTTGACGCAGTGGCTGACAGTCTGTCGGCACGTGCGGCACGCGGCCTGGCGGGCCGAGTTCTTACAGAAACGAGGAGGGGACGGCCCTAATCCCATCTGTTCGGAAATGCCATAGAGGCCACATCAAGTAGTCACTACAGCCTGGCTGGCTGACGACGGCTAATAGGCCAGAAATGACAATCGCAGTCTCTATAGTCTCTGTCGGTAGTGCCATTTTTGCCTATATTACGCGCCGCTGTTCGGCTACTGGCGGGGCCCGAGAGTCCCAAAGCACAACGGGACGACTGATTCCCGTAGCGCGATCGGTGAGCGGCCTGACTCCCAGTCTACAAGTCAGCCACTACGCACACGCACAGGATTGACTGCAAGGATCGAGTTATTCCGCCGAGTGGTAGCGTTCCAAGCCACAAATTCTAGCGCACTGTGGCGGTTGCAGAGCGCGTCAAATTTATTGTAGTGAGGAATGCGCTGGATGGAGTCAGATCCACCTTTTTCCTTACCTAGAGTCTTGCCAGTCCGACCTCGTGCGGTCGGATGAGACCACAGATCGGCGAATGGTTGTCAGCAGGAGCACTATTCTGATCATTCAATGCTCACGTCATACGCAGCA